AAATGTTAAAAAGGAAAAACCTAATACCAATAAAAAAAAAAAAATTTCCTAGAGGAAAAAAAACCGCGTTTAGGTAGTTTACCAATTTTTTTTTTTTCAGGACATTAAAGGGCAATGGGGCGAAGAACTTTTTTCATGGTCTTTTTAAAAACAACCAAAAAAGGCCCAAAGCCAACGCGGCCAAAGCCAAAAGGCCCCAAAAAAAAAATTGACAAAAAATGGGATCTAATTAAAAAATAAAAAGAAAAAAAGCCTTTTTTCTTGCCATAGCAAAAAAAGAAAAAAAACTTTAAAAAAACCATTCAGAAGGTGAAAAACAGCAAAAAAAAAACCTTACGAATTGGGAGAAAATTTTTTTGGCCAAAAAATTTAAAACTCAAAATTTCCTGGAACCAAAAAAAAGGGCCTAATAATCCCCAAGAATTTCTTACACAAAAGAACTTCAAAAAACAATTTTTACATGAAAAAAACAAACAAAAACCCCCATTTCAAAAAAAAAAAGGTTGGGGCCAGGATGATGAAAACAGGACTTTTCTCCAAAAAGAAAAGAACATTTCATTTAAAAAACAAAAGCCAACAAGACCAACATGAAAAAATTTGGCCCCTTTTTCATCATTCCCAACTTGGCCCATTCAAGGAGCAAATTTGGCAAAAAAATGCAAAAAAAAACCACATGAGATACCACCCTTTTCACAACCCCAAGTTAGAAAAAATGGGCGATCAATTTAAAAGTTTCAGGAAAAAAACCAAAACAGGTTTTTTGCAGGAGAGGATGTGGAGGAATAGGAACACTTTTACACTGTTGGATGGGGATTGTAAACGTATTCAACCTTTATGGAACACAGCTTATGGCGGTTCCTCAAGGCATTCTAGAACTAGATGTACCGTATGGACCAGCCAGTCCCATTACTGGATATTACCCAAAAGGAATTATTTAAATCATGCTGCCTATGAAAGACAATGCCAACATACGTGTTATTGTGGCCACTATTCACAATAGGCAAAGACTTGGAGTCAACCCAAAATGTCATCAGGTGACAGATGGATTAACGAAAATGTGGCCATATATACACCATGGAATACTATGGCAGCCAGTAAGAGAAGGATGGAGTTTGTGTCCTTTTGTAGGGACGATTGAATTGCAGCTGGAAACCATCATTTGCTTTTAGCAAAGATACAGAGACGGAAAACCAACACCGCATGTTCTACTCGAATAGGGGGAAGGTGATAACTGAGGATCCTTGGACTCGGGGAAGTGGAACATTCCACACACCGGGGCCGATCATGGGGAGGAGGGGAGGAGGGACTTTGCACTGGAGTTAATACCTGATGTAAATGATTGGCAGTGATGGGTGCCTGACGAGTGTTGATGCGCGGATGGGTGCAGCACACCAACATGGCACAAGTATACATATGTAACAAACCTGCACGTTATGCACATGTACCCTAGAACTTAAAGTATAATAATAATAATAAATAAATTTTAAAAAAACATACTTTGAACTAGAGAAAACAGTGCTAGTGATGAATACTATAATGTCTTTTAGATTTGTACTGGAAGGAAAAGAAATTCGTATCAATATGTCTTGTGCAGTATTTATCACCATGAATCCCAGGTGAGTATCATTGAATATAGTGGGAACAGACACAGACAAAAATCATTTTCTTAAATCTTATCTACAGATGGAGTTGCTTGACATTTGCATCTGTCCATGCATCTGCCTCCATCATCCTCTGAACACTTCCATTCCCCACACCATTTATGAACAGCTGTACTCTGCACCTGTTCATATGGATAAGGATAATCTCACATTCATTAAGCTACTGATGAAGACATATTTTTACTTCATGAATACCCAGAGAGAAAGGAAAAAGGGTCAGCAGTTTTTCACAAAGAAGACACAGGCAGAAAAACTGATGAGAGTGGCAGGAGGAATAAGACAATAGTGGTTGCAGGGAGTGGAGGTTGGGCAGATTCAGTAAATATCTGATTGAATGCTGTAATAGTCCAGAGAATCAGAGGGAACTCATATGAGGTAAATTGTGGGAGGAGGAACAGGAAGAAAATATGATAAACCAAGAAGCTCTGTAAGATGAAAGGTTACAATAAAAACTATCTTATAAACTAATTTTCAGATAAAGGTCACATAGAACACCAATATAATTATTTTGGGGAAAAGTATGTGATTCCTTATTTGAAAAATTGAAAAGTGATGTTTTTATTGTTTGTTTTTCTTTTCCTCTTCAGATACAAAGGTGGAGTAGAGCTCCCAGATAACTTAAAATCTCTGTTTCGCCCAGTGGCAATGATGGTGCCCCATTATCAAATGATTGCTGAAATAATATTGTTTTCATTTGGTTTCAAATCTGCAAAGTCACTCTCTGAAAAGTTAACTAACCTTTATGAATTAGCGTGCAAACAGCTCTCACAACAGGTAAATAGCTACTTTTCTCAAAATATTTAAAGGTGATTATATAAAAATAACTTTAAGTAATACTTTTCTGGTATTGGTCCAGGGATGACCTGGGACTATACCAAAGAAGGGAGCTAGAATTCCTATCAACACATCAAAATAATGGAACTAGAATTTCCGTCAACATGTAAAGTCCATGTATGAGCTTCATATAAGGCAAACTGTAAAATCATTCAAGATTCTAAGTCTTTCCTCCAAGATCCGGAAAGAGTAATTGAGCATTTGTTATTTTTAAATTACGGACTATTTTTTTCCATACAAGGAAGTTAATATCTAGAGCAATTATTCTCAAACTTTATTCTATACCAGAATCATTTGGAGGATTTGTTAAAACACAAAATGCTGGGCCTTACTCCTGAGTTTCTAATTCTGTACATCTGGTGTGGGGTTCAAGAATTTGTATTTCAGACAAGTTCTAAACTGTTACTGATGCTGCTGATCTAGGTTCTACACTTTGACAATTATTGTTCTAGCATATGCCAGAGTATTTGTTGCTAATGCAAAATGGTTTGGACAGCTAACCACATTTTCTCCAAAAGTCCTCCTCTTTTAATTTTCTTTCAATTTATCTCATTCTAGTTCAAAGAAAACTTAATTCAGATACTGATATTTCTTAACACCTTTAATATTTGTTAGTCTTTAAAAGTGAGACTTTAGGAGCATCACTCTGGGAGATAAATGAGAGCATTAGCAGTATAACCAAGGGTTTTTTGGATTCATATCACTGTTTCCCTGCATAGCATAGATTACCTGTAATTTACCTATATACTGTATGCATTTGTTTTCACATTTTTTCTTTAGAAACTTTAATAATTCAAATATTTTAATGTTTGATAGGATCATTATAATTTTGGCTTGAGATCTCTGAAGATAGTTTTAATAATGGCTGGAACGAAGAAACGGGAGTTTAAATGGTCAGTTGAATTTTGAATTGTTAGGTCAAAGGGCAGTTATATATTGCTGGGAAAATAATTTGTAGAATTACAGGTGATGATGCCAAGTTAAAACAAGGAGCCCCGTAGACTGTCATAGTAAAGTAAGGCAGAGATTATTTAAGAATATGAAGGAAGAGTAAGAAAAAATGCACAAAATCAGAGTACTTTTTTCCAATAGAGAGCCTATTCTTTAAAAAAAAAAAAAAAAAAAGTGTTTTACATAATAAAAGATACACTAGAACAAAAGACCTCATTTAGAAGAACAATAACTCAATGAGAAATGTAAAGCCTATATGAATATACCTATGTGACAAATGTGTAAAACCCAAATAAGGAAAACTTTAAAACAGGATTGAAAAAAATGAAAATGTATTTAAATGAAATAATATACCACATTAATAAAATCATAACATCTTAAAGGACTTAACATCATAATGATTTAAATACTCTAAACATTAGTTTACAAATGGAAATGCAATCTCAGTAAAATATTAAAAGGATATTTAGTTTGTTAATTTGCTTGTTTTTAGGCAAGCTGGTCCTAAAGTTCACATGGAAAAATGAGACTAGCTAGAAAAATATTAAAAAGCAAGAGCAATGAAGGGGAGATATCCCTTTGTGTATTAAGACATATAACAAAGCTTCAATAATTAAAACTGTGGTACTGGCTCATCAGTAGAAAAGCAAACCATTGGAACAGTATAGAAGGTCCAAAAATAGAACTATATGCTTTGGGCATTTATTATATCATAAATCCATGGGGAAGAATAGACTTTTTAATGAACGCTTTTGGGAAAACTAAACAGCCATCAGGATAAAGATCAAGTTGAAACCATTGTCCACATCATTTACTAGGATAAACTCTAAAAGGATAAAATAATTTAAATGTAAAAAATTTAAATGTATTTGAAGAAACAAATGTCCTTTGTTCTTGGAGTATGGAAGATCTTTAAAACTAAGACTCTAAATCTAGAATCCACAACAGAAAAGATTTATAAATAGTCAAAAGTACGTTTTTTGAAGTCAAAAGACAATTGATAAACTAGTGAAAAAATGGTAACTCATATTACACATAGCTTATCCTCTTAATATATGAAGATTTTCTAAACATTTGGGGAAAAGATCAATAGGAAAATGGGCAAAGGACATCAACAGATAGTTCTTGGAAAAAGAAATATAAAAGTGCCTTAAGTATATGAAAGTACACTCAACCCCACTCATAATGAAAGAATGCAAATTAAAATGACACTGAAATTCTGTTTTTCCCTTAACAGATGGGCAAAAATACAAAGTTGGGCAAAACCTTGGTGAAACTATAGGGAAGCGGACATGCTTTTTCCTTTCTGGGTAGAAAGGGACAAGATATACCTTTTCAGATTGGTATGATTGGGGCTATATTCTTGTACTGCCTATTTAAAATGAAATAAAAAGATAAATATGTTGCAAAAGGATATATCAACATGTTAACTATTTCCCTTTTAAAACATAATAATATGGATTGCTTACAGATACATACACGTACAATAAAAAAAAGAGAGCAAAGGATAGGGGATAAAGCTGTAATAATTTATTTCTTAAAAATAAAAGAACTGAGGCATATACTGCAAAATGGCCTGTATAATATTGATGGCATGTAAATAGGTGTCTGTTGTTAAATGTTTTATGATTTTTTAATAAAGATAAATAGCACTCATATATGAAACTCAAGTATAGCTCCCTGATGTCCTCAAGTCCTCTGGATTTTATAGTCCTATAGTCACCTAGTTCTTTACATAAGTATTCCAGTGAAAGTAGTACTGCTCTCCATTCAAAGCACTTGATTGTCTTCAAATGACAGAAAATCTAAAGTTCTCATGGGCACCCTTCAATTAGAGTTTCCATTTCCAGTATACAGGAAACTGTCTCCTGCCACTGAAAGCAGCTCCCTTCTCTCTAGTCTGTGCTGCCCTAAATGTGACAGCTCCATTTCTTTGATTCCTTTAAAGCACCACAGAAGCCATGTGATTGTATGAAGATGACTATATTTTAAGAGGGTTGATGAATTTTTTGTTATCAGAGTAAAGCACAGTGAACAACCAAAAAAATAATATTAGACAATTTTACTTTTTGAAAGTTTCTTCACCCTTCTTGACACCAAAATAATAAGTATTGTTCTTACCTGTTTCCTCTTCCCTTCCCTGTCCCTTCCTTTCCTTCTGTCCCACCCTATTCTTCCTAAGGCCTCTGACCATATTTCTTAGCCACCCAAGAATACTACAAATTTGTCTCATTTCCCTAGCATAGTAATTCATCCCTCCCTTTTATTTCTACTTTTTCTTTCTAGATCATGTTGGAAGAACTTAATGTTAATTCTCAAATATACTTTCAGGGTGTTTAAATTAAAACAGAAAGCAGTGTATTAATATCCTTGGGCTGCCTTATAAAATTATGACAAAGTTGTGTCTTAAAATAACAGAAAAGTATTTCCTCACAAGACCTGCGGCCAGAAGTCTGACATCCAGGTTGTGGGTAGGGCTGCTTTCTCTCCAGAGACTCTTGGGTGGATTCCATTTCTTGCCTCTTCCAGCTTCTGGTGGTTGCCTGCATTTCCTGGCTTATGACCACAGCACTCTAATCTGTTATTGTTCCTTCAAATTACAGGAAACCTAACGTTTTCAAATAGTCACTAAAGTTACATAACCTTAGCTCTAGTCAGTGTATGGCAGTTACTTGGACACAGTGACTCAAAGGTAAACACATCGTCACATCACCCACTCCTCTGTGTGTCCCTGCATCTCTTTGTCTCTTGTTAGGATACGTGTGATTTTATTTACATCTGGATACTCTAGGATAAGCTCCTCTTAAAATTCTCAATCACCTCTTTTGCCATATTAAATAATATTCAGATTCTGGGGATTAAAAAGTGAATGTGCCTTTGTAGGGGGCATTTTTTTTCTTTTAAGGGAAAGAAGCAGTTTTCTCCCTCTTTCCTTTAAAATAATTTTCCAAATCTTTTTGTTTAGAAAACAAACTAATTATACAATAGCTTAAGTCCAAGACCCTTGTGGTAGGAAAGATTTTCTTGGCAACATCTAGAGAATTAACATCTCTTCAAGTATCCACTTAAAAGATTTATGGTCCTTACCACAATGTTGGGCCACAAAGTGGGTCTCAACTAATTCCAAAAAAGTGGTATCATGAAGACAATCATAATGGGTGCAACAAAGTTACATTAGGTATCTTATTCTTAAATTTTAGTTAGATGTTGACATTAATCTAAAGCTTTCATTATTTATTCTTAAGCTATGACAGATAGACCCATTGGTAATTTCACATGCCGTTTCCAAAATTACTCTTTTTTGTAATATTTTAATGAGGTGCTACCTTTGTCCAGTAACAGCATATTGTAACAATATTATAATATTTTATTTAAGCTATTTTCTCTCCATATGTATATTTAACACTTGCCCTACTACCAGACATATTGGTCTTCCCTGATTTTTTTCATTTTCCTTTAAGATAAAGCAAGATCTGTCTTGAAAACAAATATTAAAAGGCCATTGTCATTCCCTAGGACCCCAGCAATAAAGTCTGGAACCCTTTTCCATTCTGATGTGGCCCCCTCCCTTTGACTTCAAGTGGACTCTTGCCCTCTCTTTGCCAAAATACATTCAGAAGACTCAACGAGGTATTCTCAGGGAAATGTAAATGACTAAAGTCAATTCCAACCCAATATAACTCTCCCATTGTAATAATGGAGTGGTTATAGGAATACAATCAGTACAAAATTACAGATAGGAGGAATATTTTCAGTTCTATTGCAGTGTAAGGTGACTATATGTAGTTAACAGTATTATATATTTCAAAATAACCTGAAAAGAAGATTTTGAATGTTCTCACAAAGAAATGATAAACGTTTGGACACCTTTGCAGGGAACGGTTTCTATCTCTTCCTTTCTATCTCTAATATGGTATCATAGCATGTATAGTTATTTTTCTTCTGATTACATGTTTATACAATATATGTTGAAGTGTTTAGTATGTGAAATATTGTTATTATAGAGTAACATATGTAGTATAACTTAGTAAGCTTTTGTTATGATTAACAGAAAACTCAATTTGGCTCAAATAGTAGAGGGAACTGTTGTTTTTATCCAATCAGAAAATCCAGAGATGGAGCAGAGTATGATCACTTTGACTAAGGTTTCAGTTTAATTTGTCTGAGATATTCTCAGTACTGCAGTCCTCCATACACTGGCTTGCTTTCAGGCTGGCTTCATTTTTGGTGGCACGATACCTTCTAATAATAACTGGGGCTGTCCATATTACTGAACTAAAGGCCTGAATTTTACTCTGAGTGGACTCGTCACTTGTCTACCCTTGAGTCACTGTGTCCAAGTGACTGCGATAGACTGATTGACTAGAGCTGAGGTTATGTTACTTTAGTGAATATTTGTTATGCCATATACTTGATTTTCCAAACTCTCTTGTAACTGTGGCTTTGACATACAACCTTGGCAAGTCAGACACAGCTGCATTAGAATCTGAACCTGAAGCTAGTGAAAAAAGAAATGGATACACACAGAGACCATTCTGCTGAGGGTGACAGCAGTGGCAGTAGCTATAGCCATTTACCAGAAATAGCAGAGGCAGTGAACAGTTCTAGTGCCAGCATCAGTCATGTATTGGTATGACAGTCACTGCTATCGGGATCCATTGATGATGACAGACATGTTTTCATAAGACCAGTTCCGTAGATGATTTTGGCCATTGTTCTCAGCTGGATAGCTTGCAAGCCTAGTTCTGGCCCTCCTAGAGATTTTTAAATAAATCAGTGTGTTATTTTTTTTTATTTTACATTAGCCTAAATTCATTTCTGTTATTTGCAACTAAAAACCCTTACTGATATAGTAACTTTCCCTGAGTGGGTGTCTGGGGATTGGTGTTGCTCTTATTGTTCTAGACCAGTCAGAGCCTATTTCTGGAGCTGGGGATCTTATTAATTCCACCCAAACCATATGGCTGCTATCCAGTGAGAGAGAGGAGGGAAGGACGTTGGAATAGCCACCCCTAAAAAAGAATGTTAGCGGTCTTTAATGTCTGCAAAGCAGACTCGCTAATTTGTTCTCTATGTTTGTTTTCTTCTGCCATTAAAGTGATACCAGTGACAATCTTTCTGAAGCAGATGAAACCTTGATTGTTATCGAGGCTATAAGAGAAGCTAGTTTGCCCAAATGTCCTCCTGAAGATGTCCCACTTTTTGAAAATATTATAGGAGATATTTTTCCAGAAGTGACAGTTTTAAAAGTAAATCAACTTGCCTTGGAGGTAAAAAGACCTTTGAAAATCGTCACCGCTTATTTGGATGTGGAATATCAATTACGAAACTAGATGTGGATTAAAAATATTACAGTTCTTCCTAAATTACGTATTCATGTGGTAATTGAGGGGATAAAAACACTTGGAGATATATAGTGCCCCTTGGGGAAAAAAAGAGCTTTCAGTATATTATGTCCTAATGGAAATAAGAATGAACTGTGTACCTTTAGGCAAGGATGATCATTATATATTTTGTTTCTCAATTTTTTCATCTTTTGAAATAAGGATAATAGTTTCTGTTCTTCCCACTTTGAAAGGGTGCCTAGAGAATCAAATTAGATCAGCGTTATGAAAAAACTTAAATTGTAAATATTTTGTAATTATTAAAATTACATATTATAATGATAAAGACCTTTGTTGTTTCTTTTATGTCTATAGCCTCACGGTCATTGCCTTAGTTTAGGTAAGAACTCAATGACTCTTGTTAATATTTTTACATAGCTTCCTGCCACACCCTGCATTCCAATATTTTCCCATATGGCCACCAGAGTTGTTTTCCTAAAATATACATTTGATCCCGTTAGCAAAGCAACTGTTGGATTAATGTTGCCTGCAGTACAAAATTGAAATTAAGTATTTTGGCATATAATGCCCTTCACAATCTGCTAGACCAGGTTGTCTTTTCAGTATATCCTGTTCTTCCTTCCTCCATCTCTTCCTTTCTTCCCTGTTCTTTCTACCTTGAGCTTCTGTTCTCTAACTTTTCCAGGATTTTATCAGGTCTCAGGCCATTAAACATGTTGATTCCTTTCCCTGAAACCCAACTTGTCTTCAAAAAAATATTTTTAAAATTTATTTGGAAAACAAACCACTTCATAATTATTTGTTCTTTAAATATAACTAATAGGGCATGTACGTAACTTTATACACAACAAGCACAGAATTCATATTATTTCTGAGCACACATGAAAAACTTACACACACAGAAAGACCATTCATTAGGTGATGTAGGAAAGTTTGAAAGACTCCCTTGAAAACCATCTGGACCAGGAGTTATGAGAGGAAAGCTCTTTCATGGTTCTAATCTATAAAATTAAATCTAAAATTTATGAATTCAAAATTTATGTCTCTTCTAGTATCAATTTTGTTAAATCAGACAGATACTCCTATTTCATTCAAGTTTTAAAATATGAATATAGAGTTGAACAAACCACTATCTTAAGATTCTTTCAGTTTCATGTTTCTGAGATTATTTGCTCAATCATTTCTTATTTTCCTAATTTGTGTTTTCTTCCTTGATTATATCATCTAACAGTTTATCTGATATATTATTTTTTCTCAAAAAACTAGCCTTCTTTCTATTCATTTAATATATCTTTTTTCTATTTCCAAACTCTTTGGTATCTGTTTTAAACTTTTAAAATATCCTTATTCTTCTGGGTTTTGTGTTTTTATTCTGTTTCCAGCTTTTTTAGGAAGAAGTCTAATTCATTTGTTTTCTTCTTCTTTTTACTAATATAAGCTTGTAAGATTTTCAAATTCCCTCTAAGTGCTGCTTTAGTTATATATACCATAAGTTCAGATATGTAGGAATTTCATAGTCATTTTTCATATTCATATTCATCCTGTTGTGATATCAAATACTAGGTCTTATTCATTCTATTTTTTTTTTTGTGCACATTAACCATCCCCACTTTCCTCCCACTTCCCCACTACCCTGCCCAGCCTCTGGTAACCATCCTTCTGCTCCGTATCTCCATAAGTTTAATTGTTTTTATTTTTAAGTTGTACAGGTAAGTGAGAACATGCAATGTTTGTCTTTCTGTGCCTGGCTTATTTCACTTAACATAATGACCAATTCCATCCATGTTGTTGCAAATGACAGGATCTCATTGTTTTGTGTGGGTGAATAGTGTTTTTGTGTGTAAGTACCACATTTTCTTTATCCAGTCATTTGTTGATGAACACTTAGGTTGCCCCCAAATCTTGGCTATTGTGAACAGTACTGCAAAAAACATGGAATGCAGATATGTCTTCGATATCTGATTTTCTTTCTTTGGGGTATATACCCAGCAGTGGGATTGCTGGATAATATGGTAGCCTTATTTTTAGTTTTTTTGACCAACCTCCAAACTGTTCTCCGTAGTGGTTGTATTAATTTACATTTCCAACCACAATGTATGAGGGTTCCCTTTTCTCCACGTCCTCACCAGCATTTGTTATTGCCTCTCTTTTGGATATAAGCCGTCTTAACTGGGGTGAGAGGATATCTCATTGTAGTTTGATTTGTATTTCTCTGATGATCAATAATTTTGAGCATCTTTTCATTACCCATTTGCTATTTCTAAGTCTTCTGTCTTCTTTTGAGGAATGTCTATTCAAATCTTTTATCCACTTTTTATTGGATTATTAGATTTGCTCCTATAGAGTTGTTTGAGCTCCTTATATATTCTGGTTACCAATTCCATGTCAGATCGGTAGTTTGTAAATATTTTCTCCCATTCTGTGGGTTGTCTCTTCCCTCTGTTGATTGCATCCTTTGCTGTGCAGAAGCTTTTTAACTTGATGTGTTTCCATTTACCCATTTTTGCTTTGGTTGCCTGTGCTTGTGGGGTATTACTCAAGAAATTTTTGCCCAGAGCAATGTCCTAGACATTTTCCCCAATGTTTTCTTAATAGTTTCATAATTTGAGGTCTTAGATTTAAGACTTTAATCCATTTTCATTTGATTTTTATATATGACAAGGGATAGGGATCTAGTTTCATTCTTCTGCATATGGATATCCAGTTTTCCCAGCACCATTTATTGAAGTACGTTCCTGACACCTTTGTTGAAAATGAGTTCACCACAAGTGTGTGTATTTGTTCCTGGGTTTTCTGTTTTGTTCCATTGGTCTATGTGGATATTGGTCTTTGTGTCTATTTTCTGGTCTTTTCCATTGGTCTGTGTGTCTCTTTCTCTGCCAAGACCATGCTATTTGGGTTGCTATAGCTCTGAGGTATAATTTGAAGTCAGGTAATGTGATTCCTCCAGTTTGTTCTTTTTGTTCAGGATAGCTTTGGCTATTCTGGGTTGTTTGTGATTCCATGTAAATTTTAGAATTGTTTTTTCTACTTCTGTGAAGAATGTCATTGGTATTTTGATAGGACTGCATTGAATCTGTAGATTGTTTTGGGTAGTATGAATATTTTAACAATATTGATTCTTGCAATCCATGAACATGGAATATCTTTCCATTTTTTGTTGTCTTCTTCAATTTCACTCTTTTATAGTTTTCGTTATAGAGATGTTTCACTTCTTTAGTTAATTCCTAGGTATTTAATTTTATGTGTAGCTACTATAAATGGGATTACTTTTCTTTCTTTTTCAGGTTATTCTCTGTTTGCATATGAAAATGCTACTGATTGGCCAGGTGTGGTGGCTCATGCCTGTAATCCCAGCACTTTGGGAGGCCGAGCCTAATGGATCACTTGAGGTCAGGAGTTTGAGACAAGCCTGGTCAACATGGTGAAACCTTATCTATACTAAAAATACAAAAAATTAGTGGGGCATGGTGGCACATGCCTGTAATCCCAGCTCCTGGGGAGGATGAGGCAGGAGAGTCACTTGAACCCGGGATCAGAGGTTGCAGTGAGTTGAGATTGCGCCACTGCACTCCAGCCTGGGAGACAGAATGAGACCCTATCTCAAAAAAAAAAAAAAAAAAGAAAAGAAAAAGGAAAAGAAATGCTACTGATTTTTTATTTATTTGTGTTGCTTTTGTATCCTGCAACTTTACTGAATTTATCAGTTCCAATTGTTTTTTGGTAGAATCTTTAGGTTTTTCCAAATATAAGGTCATATCATCTGCAAACAATGATAATTTGATTTCTTCCTTTCCAGTTTGGATGCTGTTTATTTCTTTCTCTTGTCTGCTTTGCTCCAGCTAGGACTTCCAATGCTATGTTGAATAACAGTGCTGAAAATGGGCACACTTGTTGTGTGCCAGATCTCAGAGAAAAGGCTTTCTGTTTTTCCCAATTTAGTGTGATACTAGCTGTGGGTCTGTCATATGTGGTTTTATTGTGTTGAGGTATGTTCCTTCTATACACAGTTATTTGAGAGTTTTTATCCAGAAGGATGTTGGATTTTATCAAGTGCATTTTCAGCATCGATTGAAATCATTACATGGTTTTTGTCCTTCATTCTTTTGACATGATGTATCCCATTGATTGATTTGTAATATGTTGAACCATTTTTGTATCCCTGGGATAAATCTGACTTGGTCGTAATGAATGATTTTTAAATGTGTTGTTGAATTTGGTTTGCTAGTATTTCATTGAGAATTTTCATGTCAATGCCCATCTGGGATATTGGCCTATAGTCTTCTTTTTTTGATGTGTCTTTGTCTGGTTTAGGTATCAGGGTAACACTGGCCTTGTGGAATTAGTTTGGAAGTATTACCTCCTCCTCTATATCCTGCAGTTTATATATTTAGCCTTCTGCATGTATCAGGGTTTCCTACATTATCTAATAAATGATCTTTTTTTAGTGTTTATGCTAAAAAATAATATGTTCTGTGCCTATGGGCTATAAAGTTATAAACAAGTATATATAGCCTATTAATTGTATTTTTCAGAGTTTTGATGTCTCTAATTCTTTATTTATCCATCTGTTTCTGCAGGAGGTGAGATAGCTATTTCTTTTGCACATCTGTCAATTGTTGTTGTATATACTTTAAAGTTGTAAGCTGTATATGTATTCCTATATTCTCTTTTACCAGCATCCTATATCCCTCTTTGGCCCACTGGTGATTTCTTGCTTTAATATATATTCAGTCAGATATTAAAATTTTATCCAACTTTTTGATGCAAGGTTTATCTTTAGAAGTTCTTTTTCCATCCTTTTGTTTTTCAAACTTTCTATATCTTTGTTTGAACTGTCTGTCTTATAGGACATATATTGGTGGCCTTTGTTTTCTTATAATCAAATCTGATTATCTGTCCTGTGTTTACTGATTTTTAACTTTCTCTGTACAATATATCCTGTTGTCTTAAGATACATTACTGTTATTATTGAATTTATTTTTGCTTCAGTATTTTCTCTCTTTTCCTGCTCACTATGGGGTAGATCGAGTTTTCTTCTTTGTTTGTTATGTTTATTCTCTTTTAGCTGAAGACTGACATTCATGCCTCTTTTAGCTAAAGATTGACATTCGTCATTATTTTCCCCTATGATCAAAATGTTTTCATATCTATATTTGTCCCTTTCAAGATAAGTACTTTAGTACACTTTTTGGTCTTCCCCACACTTCCACTCTCGTTATGTTAATGCTATGTAGAATTATAATTTCTGGTTGTTATAGAAATATTTTCTCTTTTTTCCTTGGATTTCTGCATACTCATGCTTGTGCTCTCTCTCTTTTAGAAAATAGCAAACTAATAAGAAATTGTTTCGAACTTACTTTTTATATCTATTATAGGCTTATCTTCAATTTATTCCTCTTTTCGAGTACTTCTTCCAAGAGAGTTTTCAGAGTAGGTTTTTGTGTAGCAAACCTTCTGAGAACTTTAATATTCAAGACTGTTTTTGATATGCCCTCATATCTGAATGGCAAATTCGTTATAAAAGTCTAACTTCAAAGTTATTTTCCTTTAATATATTAAAATCTCTAATTCCTTAAAAATATTATTCCATTTTCCTGTTGCTCCAGGGTCACTCTGAAGAAGGTCAGTGTCACTTCAATATTTATTCTTTTATAGTGTATCTACTTTTTCTCTTCGCATGTTCTTAAAATTTTCACTTTACCTTTATGTTCATAATATCACTATAAATTCTCTAGTTGTGAGTTTGGGTACTCTATTAGCCCTTTTAATATATACTCTTTTATTTTTAGTTCTCTAAATTAACAGGAGTCTTAAACTGTGAGATTCTTTGTTTTACATGATTGAATGAGTTGGACTTTTCCGGTTCAAGAGTTTGCAGCATCCAAGCTCTAATAAAACTAAGCTATTTTCTTAGTACTTACATGTGTTCTGGATTTTATAGATTTTCTTTGACTTTTTTAATGTTTATTTGTTTGTTTGGTTGGTTTTTGAGACAGGGTTTCAGTCTGTCACCTAGACTTGAGTGCAGTGTCCTGATCTCAGCTCACTGCAGCCTCGACCTCTTAGGCTAAAGCAATCCTCCTGCCTCAGCCCCCCAAGTAGCTAGGACTACAGGCACCCACCACCATGCCAGCTAATTTTTTATATTTTTTGTAGAGACATGGTTTTGCCATGTTGCTCAGGCTGGTCTTGAACTCCTGGGCTCAAGCTGTCCATTTGCCTCAGCCTCCCAAAGTGCTGGGGTTACGGTAGTGAGACACTACGCATGGCCTCATTTTTTTTTATTTTAATGAAAATGCAATTTGATATTTTTTTCCTTGTTGCTCTGTGAGATTTTCAGAAGTACAATAGATACCTGTCTTTAAACTGGTGCCAAGATTTTGAAGATTTTGATTTATATTTATATTTTGAGAATTTTCATGTGGTTTTTTTTTTTAAGAAAATAAAAATATCAGTTGGCAGGTTTTGCTCTCTCTCCCTTTTATAAGCATTCTTTCATCTCCCTCTAGCAGGGCCTACAAACTTTCCACTCTTCTCCAGTTATAAGTTTTCGGTGCCTCTTGTGTTAGTTTTAACATTTTTCAAGAATTTCCACATGCACATCAACGGTTTTACTTTTGAGCCTTATTATATATTCATCTTTTCATCAGCTTTATAGGTCAGTATATGTGGCAGTCTGAGTTTATGGAAAAGTTTTCTATATAAACACACCAGTTTATTCAGCTACCCCATTTGTATTATACCTACATTTGTATAATTTTTACATTAATAACTATGCAAGCTGTCAACTGTTTAATAAATTGTTACTCACCAAATTATGTGATTCATAGAAATATAGAAATGTCACAAAGATCAAAATTTAAAATTATAATGATTTTAATATTAAATTTGGAGTAATTCGGTTTTTTATTTAATGTTGTATTTTTGATGGCTTACACAGTGACCAGCCATGTGTAACACACCCACATAGTAATATATCTTATTTAAAAATATTCTGTAGTTGTGCTCTTTATACTATTTGCTCACTTGAGGTACAAGAATCTGAATCACATTTAATAGGCAATTGTGATCTGTCTGACTTATTTACATATCTGTCTCTTACATATCCAAAGTGAGTCATTATCTCCAAGTAACTAAAAGATTCACTGAGAATTATTGAAACCGCATCATTGAATAAGAACCACATATAGTTTGCCATCCAGCTGATTCTAAGGAACATCATATATAGTCATGAATATTTTATAGTAGGATTATGATTTTATTTCAAAACATTCCAAAGTAAGAAATTTGTGAAACTCATTAGCCAGGTGGGATAACCTATCTGAGTATCTCTTTAATTATCCCCACCCTATGATCTGTGCATACAATGCTATTCTTATTCTATACCTGTGTGACTTCTTGCTTATATTCAGGTAGGTGTCTAGGCTTATGTTATTAACTGCAGAGGATTCATAAGTTCCGGCCTGAATTGGGCAGTCTCATAAATTCCACTTAAGAGATCAATTCCATTTAATCTTTTAAAAAATTCTGCCAGCTGATTGCCTACCTGCAGTTCTTGCCATAGAAGCTGCCTTTTTCTCCATTGTACAGTCCTACTGGGTATTTCCTTCACCTGCTTTGTCTCATCGTAGGGATGCAAGGAATGAAAACTGGAATGGAAGAGATCGGTGCAAAAGAAAAGATAAATCCCACTTTTTTCTGTAGACATAGTTACCATTCTATCTACAGTGAAATAAACCCTCCTTTAGAAGGGTTTCCCTTATAATACCTTAGTTAAAATATTAAGTATCTTTCCAAGCTGCAGCTGCTCTTTGGAATATTTTAATTTATAACATCATGTCTTTAATCTTGTAAATTTTATTTACTGTCTTAAAATATTCTTAACATTGAAACACTAAAATAGTCATTACAAAATTGAAAACCTCTCTTAATAGTGATTAGAATTACAAAAAGGTCTAGAACCTTTTATGTTTTCTTTTAGTGTAGGATAATTAGATGATATACACTGGTAACCTCTGGTAACCTCTGTTTTTCAATGTTAAACAATGGATTCTTAATCTGGGAGAGGATCTGTGAATTTGCTATCAGGTGTCTGTGAACATAAAATTTTGTGTTCCCTGTATTTTTCTGGAGACAGTAGTAATAGTTTTCATTATTCTCAGAGACAGAGTTTGGTGAACTAAAAAATCAAGAACTACTATCTTAAAGAGTAGTAATTGGTACCTAGTTAAGAGAGATTTTGGAAGACAAAAATTTAAGGGTTCAATTTGCAATGCATTTTAAATTTATGTATTTATTTCCTTTTAGAAAGTAATATGTATTGCAACTCAGCAATTGGGTTTACAAAACTGGTCATCTCAGAAAGAGAAGATTATACAGTTTTATAATCAACTTCGGGTAAGTATAAAATGACATGTTAGCAATCTTTTGCCTGTGTTTCAATAGGAATTAACAAAATAAAGGGCAAAAATAATAATAATAAAAGAGAGATGTTACAGGTATAATATTTTTTGAATTCAGTGATTTATTAATTGTTAGTCAAGACTTTATTATTTGACTTTCACATAACTCAACAAATGGATCTTTTCACCTTCATCTCCTTAATACATATACATAAAAACCCTGCAAATGTAATGTAAAATATCCTGCATTCCATTGCTATACCTTCTTTGAATTTCCTATTTTCCATGAATGAACCATTTGGATAAACATCAGAATATGCATTTCCCTGATTGCTAGTAAGATTGTATATCCTTTTTTATACTTATTAGCCATTTGAGTTTTCTGTGAATTGCCAGATTATGTTATGTACTCATTTTTTAATTGGATTGTTTGTCTTTTTCTTAGCAAACGTATAGATTTTTCATTTGCATTTATATATCATAATTTTTCTTTTTTTTCTTCTCCTCCTCCTCCTTTCTCCTTTCTTCTTCTTCTTCTCTTTCTCCCTCCTCCTCCTCCTCTTGTTGTTCTTCTTCTTTTTCTTCTTCTTCTTTCTTCTTTCTTTTTTCTTCTTTCTTCTTTCTTCTCCTTCAATAGAGTCTCACTCTGTCACCCAGTCTGGAGTGGAGTGATACAATCATAGCTCACTGCAGCCTCCAACTCCTGGGCTCAAGTGATCTGAATATCTAGGGATGCAGGCACATGACACTATGCACGACTAATTCCTTTAGTTTTTGTAGAGGCAGGGTCTTGCTGTGTTGCCCAGGCTGGTCTCAAATTCCTGGCCTTAAGCAACCTTCCTGCCTCGACTTCTCAAAGTACTGGGATCACAGGCATGAACCACCATGTCCAGCCTATATCATAATTATTTATTGGCTATGTGCATTGCAAGTAAATTCTCTGTGTCTTTGCTTTTTAGAAATGTCTATGGTGCTCAGTTTTACAGAAGACTTTTTTTTTTATTATACTTTAAGTTCTAGGGTACATGTGCACAACGTGCAGGTTTGTTACATATGTATACATGTGCCATGTTGGTTTGCTGCACCCATTAACTTGTCATTTACATTAGGTATATTTCCTAATGCTATCCCTCCCCACCCGCTCCCCACAGTAGGACCCAGTGTGTGATGTTCCCCTTCCTGTGTCCAAGTGATCTCATTGTTCAATTCCCACCTATGAGTATTATACCACATGTGGTATTTGGTTTTCTGTTCTTGCGATAGTTTGCTGAGAATGATGGTTTCCAGCTGCATCCACGTCCCTACAAAGGACACGAACTCATCCTTTCTTAAGGCTGCATAGTATTCCATTCCAGTGTATATGTGCCACATTTTCTTAATCCAGTCTGTCACTGATGGACATTTGGGTTGATTCCAAGACTTTGCTATTGTGAATAGTGCCGCAATAAACATACATGTGCATGTGTCTTTATAGCCGCATGACTTATAATCCTTTGGGTGTATACCCAGTAATGGGATGCCTGGCTCAAATGGTACTTCTAGTTGTAGA